TCACTGGCTATGGCACATTAAGGTTCTGCTGCATTTAGCTAGTGGCTTGATGACTACATCTCAAACCTGACACTAATATTACATTTAATGTATGAGAGGTTCTGATAGTATGCGGCTTAGTTTTTTTTAACCTTTTGAACATTCAGACAAATTCTAATTTCAAGAAATTACACAATTCTGCCAATAAAAATAGTGACATAGATCAGACAACCCATGGACCATAACTGGACAGGGTAGACTGGCGATTATCACAGACCACACTATGCAGACATGCAGGCTAGACTGCTCTGGGTTTAAATATTAATGTATGTTTATTTTTATTTCTTACTGCACCTGCCCTTTCAGGAATGTGTAGAAACCGCAGGGATTGCTCCAAACAATTTCCACATTTACAAAGCATCAGACATCAGCCAAAATGCTGAATTGACACAACTTCCTTAACGGAGAACTATGAGGTGAGTGCTTTTCACTCACCTCATAGTTCTAGCCGACCTGTGACAATGAGACTGTCACAGGTCGGCTCAGTAGATCGGGAGGTGAGCGAACACATACCGGCGTTCGCTCACCTCTCGATCCTGTCATGGCTATCTGCCGTGACAGGGGATGGGCTGGATTCCCCCCTCCCCGCTCCGATGATAATAAAGGAGCAGGGACAGTCTTATAGGTCATCAATTCTGCTCACTCTGCTCTTACCTCCTGTCAGTAGTTCTCTCTCAGCACATGTATATGCAGCAGAATCTGGTTGGTCCCTAGTGCTGCCCCTCCCTCTCCCAATCTGAGTAGTGTTCTGTAGGGGATGACAGGAGGCTACTATCAAAACAGTTTCAGGACCTTATACTAATTGTATGTAAAAATGCATCTAAAGTGGAACTCCAGTTTTTTTTTTCTTCAAAGTAGCTGCCATGCATCTTTTAAAATAAAAAGGCAGCTCCCACTGTAATACTCACCTTAGGGCTCCAGACGTCCAATGCCATTCATCCTCTGGGATGAATGGTAGCTAGTGTCATCTAACCCACTTCCTGTGGGCCCAGACATGCCCCCTGATGGCACGTCATTGTGCAGCCTGGAATAACAGTACTCCTGGCTTCACCAACCACCACCGCCAAAGAAGAAGAGTAGGATTTTTCCAGACTGGCTGAAGACTGTAGAAAAAATATGTGTATGTATCTGCCTGGAGTTGGGCTTTAAATTAAGCCTACAGGGCTTTTACTTTCTTACTATTTTTGACAAGGTAATAACATAATATTTAGAAGTTTGCCCCTTCTCGAACTCTGCACATATGCTGTATATTGCTGTGCATCCATGACATGTCCCATGTACAAGGTTATACTGTGAATCGAAGGGCAAAGTAGACCATAGTAACCAATCAGAATCCATTGTAAAATGTTATGGGTTACTGCCCATTGTACTTCAACATTACTGTTTGCACTACCTTATGAATAAAGACAGGAATGCCACTTGCTAAAGTTTGGGTGCTGTTCACTGTGGTTTCCTTTAGCTCAGTATTGTTGTCTGACTTGTATTCAAAGATCTAAGGCAGCTAGCGCTTAGCATACAGTAAAACGTGAATTTATACTCTTCTTGTAAATCAAAATACAGAACATTAAAGTGGCATTTAGCCAGGAGAAAGGCATTAAATATTTATGGGCACCAATGAAAACAGCTTTTTGTGCACAGTAGGGCAGCATCTTTACCTTAATGAAATATTTAGTGGCACTGGACCAATTTAAGATAAAAAAAATAAGAGATAGTGATTTAATTTTCAAGCTCCACCACCCAGAAGACAAGTCATAAGAGAGGTGCTCGAGGACGGCAGGTGGAGGCAACAGATGAGCAGAATGAGAGACAACTTGAGTTGCTGGCTTGTTTGTCTGGCATGTTTTTTAATGATTGCGCACTGTCTGCCTGCTGTTCTTTGTGTATTCTCATGGAGCTAAGGAAGTCCGCTAGAGGGACAAGTATCAGTTGGTTGTAGAGTATGTTTAAGAGCTGTAATAAATGCTTCAATGCTTCATGTTATTGCACCAGTTGTCGAAAAACCTCTGTGTGATGAGCCCCAATCTGTCTTCTTCTGAACAAGGACATAAGGTTACTATAAAATGTATGTGCCACTTCAGTCTTTCTTTACATTGCAAGATATCATGTAGTGGGTCCTGACACAATTGAGGATGAGCACCAAGGATGACATCTGCCCATCTGCAATCACACATACCCAGGGGTATGTGTCGTGCAACTTAGCTGAAAGTCAGAAGCAGCGTAGTCACGTAAACAACTTTCTTTCCTTATATTGTTTACAGTGACAGTATTGTAAAATTTCAGTGTGAAATAATGAATGCTTCTGACGGTCAAAAGTCCTCTTTCACGCTCCTTTATTTAACCATAGCTAGCCCAATCCTCAGCTGTGTGTTGCATTTGGCTGTCGTTTTGTGGTCAGAACCATTACGTTTATAGCCACTAGACATGTAAATTTCATTTCGTTCCAATGGATATTCATACGAATTTCATAAAATTTGGACATTCGGATGCATCCAAAGTTCTGAATTCGAGCACGTCCGAATGCAAATGAATTTGAGTGTTCTTTAAAAAAAAAAGATCCGTCCGGATTTTGTTCAAAGCGAAACTAAATCAGACAAGTGACTGTTCTCTGGCCAATCAGATGCTTTTTTTTGTCTGTTGGGGGTTCCATCTCAGACACAGTCATGTGAGTTTCCGTTGTGGATCTTTCCGAAACGAAAATTCAGACGGATCTGAAAATTGAATAACGAACCGAATCGAATTTCGGTTAGAAATACGAAAGACAAAAGAAATAAAAATCCAAATCGGAAAACAAATTATTTGCAGGGTTACATGTCTAATAGCCACTCTAAGTACTGAATCCTATCATTAGTTATTTTTAAGACAAATGTTTAAGATACATTATGTGATACAGTGTTGTGGGGGTTATTGAGTATTTGAGAAACTATTCTTTAAAAAAAATTAAAAAAATATAAAATATCAATAAATATCAAACCTATCCCATACAAACATGTAGTATCAGCTTTTCCTCTAAATATTTTACAATGGAATGTTCTTACAGAAATTATACTAATATTACACAATATCATATAAATCTCTTCAGATGCATTAGCGGATATAATTCACCAATGCACACATAAACACCCGGGCCTTACATAGTGTATATGCCAGTGGTATGTAACATCGGCACCCCAGCTGTGATGAAACTATAAATCCCATCATGCATCTGCCTCTGGGAGTCATGCCCGTGGCTGTCAGCATCTTGCAATGCCATGTAGTTGCACAACAGCTAGAATGCCAAGGTTGCCTACCCCTGGTATATGCCATCATCTTAGCAAGGCCAGAACTTACAGGGTTATTCACTCGGTGAAGTGAAGCTAGCTGAAGGATCAGTCGAAGCTACGGCTGGTCCTTCGGCTAGCTTTGTGAATAGATCCCTTAGTTTTATTCGGTAAAGGTGCATATGATAGCCAGACTTAACTTAGCAAAGGTACATATAATATGCAGATCTCAAAAGTATAAGCAATATGTAACAAGGTATCCAAAAGAAAATTGTATGGAAGAGTGAAACAAGCCAGCAGGAAGAGGGAAAGCGTTACCCAATCAATGGTTGAGAGTACTCCACCAGGTTTGTCTCCACGTTTATTGTGATGATTTAACTTTCTCAGGAGGTAGACATTTAATCGATTTGGTACACATTAAATCTATTATCATTTTATGAAATATGTTATTGTACAAGGATATCAAGACATTATGGCTACCCAAGGTCATTATTGTAGGGTTCAATTAGAGATTTGTTTCTCTAACTGAGCCCTGCAATAGAGAGCGTAGGTAGCCCAAATGTGTTTCCATGCTTCTATAAGAACAGTTTTGGTTGTATTCAGTCAGTAGACTATTGTTTAGCCTCCCTGATAGTGTCTGTAGTACACATTAGTTTGGAAATGCATACACATGTGTATCTGAGTGTTTGAGAGAAAGACCTTTCACTGGCTGTGCTGTATTCTAGCATCCAACTACAGCCTATGGCCAGTGTTTTTCTTTTATTTTCCCTATTACTTAAGGTCTCCAAAGATTAAAAATGAGCAAGAAATAATTTACGTAGAAAGATTATTGTGATTTATTATCGTTGTGACATTTTATGAGCTTGGTCTTTTCTCACATATTCACCAACTCCATTATGTTAAGGATCTACTGATTTCTCTGTTTGTTATAAAGAGAGTAAAATGATAGGAGTCAAACTACTTTAGCTAGCTTTATAATGGCACTGCATGGGAAAGGGGGAAACTCAAGTAGGAATATCTCTGGGATGTCTGAGAGATACAAGGAGCTAGTTGGCAATTCAATCTAGCAACATCCATCTAAAACTGAAATATATTGGAGACAGTTTATTCTTTAAGAGCAACCCAGGACCATCATTCTGCGTTTAGTTTATTTGACTATGTGATGATAGCACCTTAATTGTCATGTGATTAAATATGTATTTGATTAAGCAAATAAAGCTCCAATTTTCTCAAGATTTGCATGCATGGATATGTAGCCGAAGTGTTTATTGGTTGTTTAGAAAATGTTAAAACATCATTACATTTCTATCAAATAAATAGGAACTCCAGGCAAAAATCTTAATAAAGTGTCAATATACATATGTGAACTGTTTCACGTTCCAAAACAAGAACAATTCTTGACATTTATCTAATTTACACACATTTTTAGTTGACATCCCAACCCTGACAGTTGACAATCAAATTTGCTGGTTTATCTGGTTTCTTGTAGCTTCAAAAGTCACCTTTCAAGCTTTAGTCTACTGATTAGGCAATGGGTAAGCTCCATCACCCCCATCCAATAAGCAGGCAGATAAGAGAAGAAGCTGTAAAGATGAACCATGCTATGCTATGAGTTCCTGTTATTGTTACATACTGTACATAATCACAGCCACATAACCTACTGATTCCGTCTTATTGACTGAACTTTTGTTTTTTGCTTCTCAGACACTACATCGGAGTTTACAGATGGTGTTTTTATTTTTGAAGACTTCCCTGAGCAAGATCCAAAGACTATAAAGCGTTATGATGCTATTGTCGTAGAACAGTGGACCATCATTGAAGTAGGTGTTTCATTTCTCAGTTTTCTCACACACATTGTTTGCAGTAATTGCATTAACATCATGATGTATGGTATTTATTATGATGCAGACTTCAAACAATTTTCGGTGGTAGCCCAACTCCAACTAGTGAGATTAAATAACACCCCCAACAGCTGAGCACTCCTGATCCCGCTTATTCCCTTTCTGCATTCACAGTACATATTGACACTGCAGTGCTGTGGCTACTTGTTTTCCCCACTGATGCGATCTTTGTACAGAACATGCTAAATTCTCTAGATTATTTGCTATCTTCAGTGCTACACTTCCATATTCAGAAGACTTATATAAAAAAAGGATCAGTCGAAGATTATGTTGGGCTTGCATTTGTACGACTTTCCATGGACACCGCATTTTAATATACAGTACCTTTGACCTTATAGTTAATATTTAGATGAATGGGACATTGGTACTGAAGCAGGAACCAAAATCTTATTATGGTATTATAAAATTATTTTGCATTTAAAATACTGTACTTTTTTCCAAAATAGTAACTTAACGGGAAGCAATCTGGAATTAGTACTGGGATTACTGGGATTAGTAAGCATCCAAATCTCCATCTTTCAGGGCTTGCTGTTTGTCACATTATTCTCGGGTATTCTCTTCCCCTCAGGGTATAAGGCTATCCTGTCTACTGTCCCAGTTCTTTGCTGAATACAGATATTCTTTTTGGGATGCTGAAAGATTGTTAAACTGTTCTTTAACAAAGCCTTTAGCTTTCTTTATTATAACCCTGACAGCACCCTTGTTACTTAAAGTCCATTTCCACCTTTCCAGAGGTATTTTTTTTTAAAACATATGCCTGCATTGTACACCAAATGTACATGAAGCAGGCATATCCTCTTTTTTGTTAGCTTTCCTCTTCATATGCTCATGAAAATGGCCGCCTCTGTGCTCTGCAAGCAATCTGTGTATATTACAACTGAGCTCTCGCTCTAAACTCTCCACCCCCCATTCATTAGTATTCATAGTGGGGTGTTACAGAGAATCACAGGGAGGGGGTCAGCTGTTTACAGCCTTCTTTACAATCCGACCCCAGTGTCAGACTGGGTTTCCAGTGGAGAAAATTTTGAATTTGTAGGATTCAGGCTTAATATAAAGTTCATAAAAAAAAGAAAGCCGGGGGGCGTGGCGAGCTGCCGAGGAAGATGGCTGCGGTCTAACGGAGCTCCGCAACACCCGGTCCCCAGAGAGCTATCATTAGCCAGCAGAAGCACAGTATAACAACACTGAACCGACCAGGTTCAGATGGTGGACCGATAATGGTTTCACTAGTCTGTATGATTTCTATCGTACCCCTGACTTACCGATTTGGTCCTATCTCAAAACAACCAAACAGATCCCAGATTCAGAAATGTATAGGTTTCTTCAGCTGCAACACTGGGTATCCTCTATGCGAACACGTAGATGTTTAACTGCACCGCTTACTGGTTTTGAGCACCTCTGCCTGTATGCTCCAGGGGGACCTAAACAGGTGTCAGTTCTATATTCTATCTTGAACTCTCTACCACGTACTAGTTTTCACTCTTATTCCAACAAATGGTCAGCAGAACTGGGTCTGCATTGGTCTGATGATGACTGGAAAGAGGTGTGGAAGAATATTTCCCGGTGTTCCAGTAATGTGACAAATACTGAGGTGGCCTACAAGGTATTGTTTCGGTGGTACTTAGTCCCAACTCGTCTACCTAGAATATATTCAACATCTTCCGCTAACTGCTACAGAGGTTGCTCAACCCCAGGGGACATGTTACATACCTGGTGGTCCTGCCCCTTCGCTGCCCGGTTCTGGACCAGAATTTTTCGTTTGCTTTCGACTCTTTTTGCCAAAAATATCTCTAAAGACCCAACACAGGCCTTACTCCATGCCTCAGTCCCCGGACTGAACAAAGCTCAGGGAGCCCTAGCCCACCAAATATTAATTGCCGCCAAATTAACTTTGGCGGGAAATTGGAAAAAACAATTCATCCCGTATCGGGAATTCACCAATAGGCTGGATGTAGGTCTCTTAAATGAACGATTGTCGTACGTCCTACAGGATTCACAAGCCAAATTTCTTAAAATCTGGGAACCCTGGATTCTACATAATCACCCTGATCTAGATATTGACACCCTCCACCGACTGTGATGTGGTCTATAGAGTTAAGAGGTAATGAAAATGTGACCCTCAGCTGTGAACTGAAAAATCTGTGGAGTAGACCTGAACTACAATTGAAGTTGACCGACGGATGGACCCTTTCCCCCTACTTGTCTTCCCCTTCTTTCCCCCCCCCCCCTTTTTATTTCCTTTATCTTCTACTGCATTAATGTTGATTTGTAGTGTTTGCATTGACATACTGTTGATTGTATTACGTTACCTATGTGGCCGCCTGTAGCCGGCAAGCACTGTACAACATGCTGTTTGTAATTACCTTGAAAACCCAATAAATATTTGGATACAAAAAAAAAGAAAGCCTGCAATGTGAGTCATAAAAATGTGCACACATATACATCATCACTGCATCTCTGCATTACCACAATAAATGCTAATCGCTTACAAAGGTGGAAATGGACTCTAATAGTCTTGTGAATGTCTGTTAACACCAGTGATCTAAAACAGGAAACAGGACAGCCTTTGTTGTGGACTTTATAGTCTGAAAATTGAGCTGACACTTGTGGTCTTAGAATGCAAGTGTATAACAGGACACACAGCTATCCTTCCAGGTGTGAACATTCATATTGCTACAAACCCAGATCATTAGAACTGATTAGGATAGGAACATACAGAGATTTAGTTGGTTTGTTTTTAAACTCAGGCACAGTACAGGAAGGGATAACCATTTTCAGAGACAAATCTCTCCATCCTTTAGGCTCCCTGGAAATGAGGGACAATTATAGCTTGACCCCTTTTCCCACTGTAGACCAGACACTGAAGAGCTCTGCACTACATTTGTCCTTTGCTGTAACCTCGGATTGTCTCAAAAATAGTTCCATTCAAAATAATTTGCATAGATTACTTGGAATGTAGGTCATAAACTTAAAGCATGAAAGATATCTTAATCAATTAGATCAGCATTGTTCCACCTTTTTTCATGGTGCTGTTCGCATCCTATGTTTACTGGCTCTGAGAAACTGTGGCATAATGAAAAGCGAGGAAAATTACTATTTATCCCACTGGCCAGCTTTGGTTTTAAAAACGTCTTCCCAGCTCTTGAAATCCAAAGAAGTGACTGTCAAGCAATTGGCCACAACGTCAATTTTATTTGTACAGCGATGAAGTTTGAATTGTTGTATTTATTCCTTGGTGTATGCAATTATACATTTATAAGTACTTTTAATGAAACAGATTAGCTGGACATCTTATTTCTATTGGCAGATGATGCAGCCTATTAATGCAGCCCTAGTAATGGGCTGATAGGAATTTGAGGGGGCAGGCAAAAGTAGCAAGCTCTGACAATATCCGTAAGTGCCTGTTAGAACTGCCAGGGATATGGCCTTAGGGGAAGTGTCTTTAAAAAGCTAAAGCAAATGTGTGCTTTATATCTGAAATTATCTTTTTTCTGTAAGTTGTTACTTTAAGGTTTATTTATTTTTTACCATTTCTTAAATAAGATCATTTATTTATAGGCAGACCCAGCCCCCATTCACACTAGTGACACCCCTGAATGTGCACAATATTGTCATTATTTGTTACTGGCACCACAAGCAAGCAAGATGTGTAAGAAATATGAAGTCATAAAACGTGCGATGCCTGCAACTCAAACTGACGCATGAGCTTCTTTGTTGCCAGCTCAGTGAAATGCACAGCCTGCCCTATATTGACGCATGGTAAAATACATCATGCATTTATGCGTGCACCTAGTGTGAATGGGGGCTCATTATTGTGTCCGCACAATTCTGAGAATTAACTGGTAGGTGGAAGCTGGCATGTTTAACTATAACTGTGCTTTCACTTAATGTAATACATTAGTACTTTTCCCTGCAGCCTACGCAAAATGCATTTAGCAAAGATAATTTATGTTTCCAATGCAATGGCCTGGCCCTGTGTTTACCTTCATCAAATAAATTGACCTACTTCACTTCGCAAACTTTATGGGTCCATTCAACAACATTTAGGGGTCTATTCACTAAGCTGCCAAGGGCAGCCGAGTGAATGACCGATCTGAAGTGAAGTGAGCCGAACACTGTTCGGCTATTCACTTCAGGCTGGTACGGCTGATTTCAGCCGTACATCGGCTGAAATCAGCCGTACATCGGCTTGCTTCGCGTGGCTTCGGGTCGGCCGAACATGCTCTGGATCGGCTGAGCCGAACCTCCGGCAGGCTTCTCACTGCTGTTCGGGCTATTCTTAAAGATGCTGAACAGCAGTGAGTGAATAGCCGAATGCCGCTGAGCGGCATTTGGCTTGGCTGTTCTGCTCGGTCCCTCAGAGGCACCGAGCAGAACAGAAAAAGAGTGAAAAAAGTTAAAAAAAGTAAATAGCAAACGATTGTGCGGAGCTAGCAGTGACAGCTAGCTCCGCCCAATAGTTTC